CAACTTGAAATGCTCCCAAAAATGGCACTACAGCATGTAAAAATATAATATAAGGTCTGGCGGACTTGGTTCTATGGTATGTCTTAAAGGGTTAAAAGCGTCAACATTAGCTCTTCTCTGACAGCATAGAGGGAGTTTCTAAAATTGACGGAGTCTACATTAATCCCATGCAAATGTACACCTATCTGGAACAACCCTGATGTGTTACAAAACAATAATATGATAAACTTTCCAGATTGGAGTTGTAAAGGAATCACATACTTAGAACATATATTAGAAGGAACAGAATTTATTCCATTTGACAGACTAGTTACACAATATGGGATCAACAAGAAAAGATTTTTAGAATATCAACAAATTAAATCCATAGTAAAAAAGAAATTTAAACCCGGTCAGGTTGAACTACAAACACCATCAAGTGTGGCATAATTTCTTACTCTTAAAACCCCAAAATTACTTTCCAAACTGTACAGAATACTTTGTAAAACAGATGAATCAATATCACTTCCTATTGCAAAATGGGAAGCGGATTTATTAGTTAACTTAGACCAAAACTTCTGGTCTCAGATATGCATACAAACCTTTCATTTAATTAGAAATCCCAGTCTTCAATTAATTCAATACAAAATACTACTACTTTCTGGGGGTGCTACGTCTCCGGGCTGGGGCCCTGGCTGGGCCTTGGGTCCTGGTTGGTGTGTCGCCAGGGTTTTGGGCGGGTGGATGTATGGGGGCTCAGCCCTGGCGCAGGGTGCCGCCAGTGCATCGAGCCACCTGAGGGGCTCTTCAACTGGTGGTGGAGGCTGTCACATCTTGCAGGAGGTCTCCTCTCTCCAGGAACTCACTCTGCAGGTGGGGAAGATATAGGAGAGGTGGAGGAAGAACTCAGCCTGAGTGTCTATTGTCTTGTGTAGTCTGGAAGATGAGTGGATGACGGGGTGGGTGCAGTTTTCTCTGTGGTGGGGTTGGATGGGCTTTCCCGGGCTCTGTGGGGCCAGGCGGCGCTGCTGAGGGGGCACTTGCCCCTCCCTTTCTTCCCTCCCCATCTCCAGCTGCTTCCTTCTTCCCGCTCCACAACAATCACCCACACATGCAGGGCCTTGGGGTAAAGGTGTGTCACAAGGGTGCAGGGGAGGCACACCCCCCCTCCCCCCCTCCCCTTCTGGCTGCCTGTGCCTCAATTTTATCCCACAACTTAGACATTCACATTACTCACACTCTCATAACACATACATATAGGACCTTGGTGGGCATGCTACACGGCATCCAGAAGACCATCAGGGTGTATAGCCTCACCCCTGGCGCCGTTGCCCACCTCTCAATTTTACATACACGTA